GAAAATAAAAAAGTATATCCCAATTTTTATTTACTACCAATTCTGTGGGCGTGGCTTGGTGGGTGTGGCAGGGGAAGGATACTGCAAAATCTCCATTCCCAGCCAACTCTGGGGCCAGCCGGAGGTGGTATTTGCAGGTTCTCCGAACTAATCAAAATTTCTGCTACTGGTTCTCCAGAACCTGTCAGAACCTGCTGAATTTTACCCCTGGACCTCACCTTTTCAGTATCAATGCCCCTGGACATTGACCAAGTAGAAACAATGTAGTCCATCACACGTTCACTCAAGCCTTTGGGCACTTGGTAGAGCTTCAGGAAGTCCCGGACACTGTTTAGCATTTCATGATATCGGTTTGTATTAGCATACATTTGCTGAAAGATAGTTGTCACATTCCCAAAAATGGTTGCATATAACAGAGCTGCAAATAGAAGAAGGTGGGGAAGGGGGAACAAAATGAAGGTGGGCCTTCTCTGAAAGAGGCAGATGGTTTGGCAACTGCAGCAGTTCATTGCAGTATTTGTGGGAGAAAATAGCATCAATTCCATCAATTGCAATAATAATTATCGTAATTGTTACAATCCTAAACACTGGTGCCATTTATTGCCTATTGGTACAAGCCTTGAGATATGTCCTTTCAAAATTGCATGTATTACATAAAAGAAGGATGCCTCGTCTTGGTACAAATTCTCTTGTTTCAATTAAGAGTGCCATTTTCAATTTGTTTTATGTTAAATGACTTTACTGAGTAACTTCACAACTGTGCAATTAGGGAAACATTTTCTAACCCTGGAGGCTGCTCATTCAATTCATGTCACCTTAAATCACTACATCCCATTCAGTAAACTGTACATAGGCACAGCCTCTTTCAATGTTATAAATAGAATGCATATATTTATTAACTTTTGTAAGCTTACCTTTCCCAAACAGAAGTTCATGGAGCCTTACAAAAGTTAAACATGTCTTGTACAAAAAATGGACAGACAGAAATTCAACAAAAGCCAAGTCAACAAAAGCCCTTTAGCAGCTTGAGCATGAAAGGTCTCTGATTTTTTTCCACTTGGCAGATCAGATTATTTTCAATAAAAGTCAAATAAATGTGCTTAGAGAGTGTGTTACGGTTGAGAAGCCACAACAGGAGAAGCTGAGACTCGGGAAGATGTCAGTTCCAGAAACAAGCCTCAATATTCAACAACAGTGTCCGATTTTCATGCAAGAAATGCAATTCCACCTAAAAAGGAATCTCAAGGAAGTATTGCTGGGGAAAACTCTGCCAAAGATTTTGAAACCTTTCTGCCAGCGCTGGTACAGTTTAAAGCTCTCATGAAAGCATTATACCAAGTTGCTCTATCTAACCCAGATAGGATGTCCTGAGAAGACTATTGGGGATGGGTGAGGACTGATAGGCAAACTTAAAATTCTGACAGCAGGTCTTGAATGCTTTCACAAAATGATTGCTCAGAAGTCTGCCAATTTACAAAATGGCTACCACAAGATAGATAGTAATCACAAACCAATTTGCTGAAAGATGAAAAGGTGGGTTTATTAGTTCATGCTTATCAGTTCTTTTCAACCCATATTAGGAAATATTAGGACTTGAACCTCAATAGTTTATTCCTGGGTTGCAGTATTTCTATAAGTGTATTTAGGGCCTCTCCACTACTGTTATTTGAGCCAAGCCAGTATTGGGTGCAATGCCCATATGTTCCCAAACAGTGTCTTCCAAGGGAGACTGAAGCAATTTTATTTTGGCTCAGGTGTGCCTTAACTCCATGTAGGATCTTCACTGGGAGGAGGCTGATTTTCCAATTGTGAGAACTATTGTCTCTCACTACTCACTGTTCCCTACAACCTGAGCTTACTTCCTGGTATTTTGCAAACTTTATTGGCAAATTTCTTCTTAATCCCTCTAGTCAGTTTTATAATGCTGTAAAAATGCACTGCCCTGACCATCTCTGCTTATGCACAGATCCAACTATCGTATCAATCCAAACTCTGAGTACAAGCCTTTACACACACTTTCTCTACCCACACAGATTCTGGAACCATAGTTAAAATGTTGGGGAAAGTTCCTACTTGGGAATGCAAATTTGTGGTGTCATGCCATCTGAACAGCTTTTAACAGAAATTTATATGCAAGAAATATATTGCCTTGTCACCAGATAGCTTTCCTCTTATATCAACTGCTCAGATATTTTGGGGCTTGGCCAAAGACAAACAATATATGCTGAAAGCACAAGGGGGAGCCACTTATTTATTTTGCTCCTTTCTGTAAGGAATGGGAAATCAAATATCTGAAGTCCTCTGATANGGCCAGGGTGGGCATGGCCAGGGTGGGCATGGCCCAATGTCACTGATGTCAGAGGCACCTGTGGTGGCCCAAGTGCACTGCCAGCGAAAACTGGCTCCCAAGCTCTATTTTCAGTTGCGACAGCTTCCTGCAACCCTCTGCCAGTGAAAATGGAGCTTAGGATGCCTACCTGCAACCCTCCTGAGCCCCATTTTCATTGGTATAGGCATCGTGGGCCCCTGACCTGACAAATGTGTGCCTGACAACAGCGCGCCGACAAAACCACAGCGATAAAACCGCGACATCGATAGTGCGCCCACAAAGGTACGCCGACAAAAGAGCGCTGACAGAAACGCGATTAGGGTTAAGGTAAGGGTTAGGGTAAGGGTAAGGGTAAGGGTAAGGGTTAGGGTTAGGGTTAGGGTTAGGGTTAAGGTTCTTACGTTGTTTTCACGTTGTTTGTTGATGGCGCGCTTCTGTTGGCGCTCTTTTGTCGGCGCGCCTATGCGGGCGCGATTTTGACATCGTGGTTTTCTCGCTGTGGTTTTGTCGGCGTGCTTTTGTCACACGTGCATTTGTCGGTGAACCCCGTGGGCCAGTCCTTTGCTGTTTCCAGGCAACCCCGCGGGCCAGATTTAAGTGCCTTGAGTTTGACACCCCTGTTGTAGGTCATCTAGTCCAATCACCTATTCAAACAGAAGACCTTATGCCATTTTGTCCACTCTCTTCTTTAAAGTTTCCAGTGATGGAGCACCCACAATTTCTGGAGGCAAGTCATTCCATTGGTTAATTTTTCTCACTCTGGAAATTTCTCCTTAATTCTAAGTTGGATCTCTCTTGATTGGCTTCCATCCATTGCTTCTTGTCTTCTGGTGCTTTGGAGAATAGGCTGACCCCCCTCTTCTTTATGGCAGCCCCTCAAATATTGGAGGGTTCCTACCATGTCACCCCTAAGCCTTCTTTGCTTTAAACTGACATACCCAGTTCCTGCAACCGTTCTTCATATGTTTTAGCCTTCAGTCCCCTCATCATCTTTGTTGCTCTTCTCTGCACTCTTCATACAGTCTCATGTTCTTTCACTAAGTTGGATTCTATTCTCCTTACAGGCACATCTGAATTTCTCCCTGAAGCTGCCATAAGAAATATGCAGCCATGAATCAGCAAAAGGATATCCATCTAATCCAGAATCATCCTTGACAACGCATTGTGCATTTGGAAAAAAACACACACCGACATGCATTTTCTCCTAAGAAATTATTATTGTTCTGTGTTTTTTGCACAGCTCTCAGGATTATAACTGTAACTAAGTTAACAGCCAAGAAATGATATATCTGCAACTTCATGTTTTCTCTTGCCAACTTCAGAATAACTCAAGTCCATTAGAAGGCACACAATTAGGCAGCAGACTGGAGTAACTACTAAAGTGGTATTTCATGTTTCGAGCAGCCTAAAATGCGCCCGTTTTAATGGCCAGCCATATTTCAAAAGGAGACTTAATCTATTTCATTCTATTTATATGAGTTTGCATCATCAATCAGGTGCCCCTCGAAAGCCCGAGTCTAAAATGAATTTAACCGACTTTATAAGTAATGGGTCAATCGTGAGTTTGTCATAAATTCATTTCAAATTTTGGATACCGGCCCAGGAGGCACTTTGGGGTATTGGTTTCTCACAAATCACCCATAATTCCGGAGTAATTTTGATGTACAAATGCAGTGACGAGACTTCCTTTTGTCAAAGGCAGGAGTAGATCTTGGGGACTCCATTACAGTTCGGGTCTGAATAATTAAGACAGACAGACATCTAAAACAGGGTAAATCCATATGTACCTTCCTCCTGTTGACCTTGGGAGAAATTAAATTAATAAGTTCCAATTTAGCTTGTGAAAGGGTCTTGAGAATGCTAAGGGAAGATGCCTGAAAAAGCTAACCAGAAATGAAACACTTAGATCAGTCTTCCCAAAGCTCCTGGCGTCCAAAATTGGTGGGCTTTGGGGCTAATCCCAAACCTTCAGGAATTACACTTGAGGATCACCTTTGAATAACAGAATAACAGAGTTGGAAGGGGTCTTGGAGGTCTTCTAGTCCAACCCTCTGCACAATCAGGAGACTCTATACCATTTCAGAAAAATGGTTGTCCAATTTCTTCCTAAAAACTTCCAATGATGGAGCACCCACATCTCTGGAAGCAAGCCATTCTACTGGTTAATTGTTCCACTGTCAAGAAATTCCTTCTTAGTTCCAGGTTGCTTCCCTTCTTGACTAATTTCCATCTATTGCTTCTTGTTCTTGCATTCAGGTACTTTGGAGAATAGGTTGACCCCTTTGACTCTGTGACAGTCCCTCAAGTACTGGAAAACTACTGTCATATCACCTCTAGTCCTTTGGATTAACCAAATCTTTCTCTATAAAAGTGAAATACCACTTACACATCATCATGAAATCTCCAGAACCATAAAGCCTACAAACTTGAAATTTGGCACACATGTCCCTCTTGGCTTCTAGGTGTTCGGTAAGAAATGATCTTTCTAAATGACACAAATTATTAGTATTTCTTATATTATTATTAACACACTCTGATGCTAAGGAGTTAGATGTTCTATTCCCCCTCCCCACCTGAAAAGAATTCTGTTCCAACTGCCACATGGGCATGGGCATTGCCAGGGGGTGGTTCATTCGGCCTGCAGGCTGGGAATTTAGACATTCTACTCCCTCTCCCCACCTGAAAANGGAAGTTACTTACTTCCGGGTTCGGCGACCAACCGGTTCGCAGGGACCGCCGCGAACCGGTTGAAACCCACCCCTGGTCTCTAGCTGTCCCTATTCCTAAGCCTTGGCTAGTGTATGCCCCAGGAGTTATCTAATTCACATTGCATTTGCTGCAGGCCATCCCTAACCTTTAGCTGAGGTCTACAAGTTGCCTAACTACCACAATTGTTACAAGCTTTACACATGCATATTTCCTGTTGATAAGCATTCTTTGTTCTTGACAGGCAGACCCCACAATTACAGTCTTCTTGATTTACTCTTAAGCGTGTGCCATGACCCTGCTTACAGCCCATCAACTTCACTGGTGTGATGAAAGCTCCACCCATTTTTCATATGCAACCCTGCCCTGCAGTGACGTTTGCG